AGGCACTGCAGGACATGAGGGAAAAGCGACACCTAGCGGATCCAGTGCTGTAGCCACCAATAGCTCCCCTGACATTCGTACATTGCTTTGTATTTCAACAGAATGCCGAATGTCACAATGAATATCTTCCCGTTTACAGACTTGTGTTGTAATACAGAGACATGGATTTTCTTGCCATTTAGCCGATGTGTTTTTGTCGTTCTAACGTCGTACTCTAGATCTGTTGCTAGTCAGGCGAATAGGGTCTTGTCATAAACTGATCCTCTCGGTATGGTATAGTGAATGAGTAAAGTGGATTATGTGCAAGAAGTATGGAAGGATAGAGCTGCTATGTATATGTTCTGATTTGGGATCAAAATAAAGTAATGGCTACCACAAGTCAGTTCCTGTTTGTCACTTATTACTCCGTGAAGGAGGTATCCCTCCTGCAGGAGTATTGTGGTCAGTTCGCTAGATATATATTTGACCAGGGATTTAGCCATTTTTACCATACGTTGTTACCAGTTGTTAAGTGCTCACACACTGTTTACATACACTATACTGTTCCCAATCTGCAAAATACAAATTGTCGACTATGGACACTTGTTGTCTTTTAAGAGCCCTGTAGTGTCAGGAGCAGATTAATATTAACAGGTGGTTACTCATTAACCAGACCAGACATTACCTAGGGGCGGTGTAAAAATACACACAGGTTAAATCAATATGTTAGAAAGTCCACATACGGGACGTGGGAGCGAGGGGCGGTGCACCATTGAAAACAAACATTTTGCTACACGTAATTACCAGCACTTTAGACTTGCCTAGCTAGTCGAGACCAACGGAAGTTTTGCTCGGAAAGTCGGTTTGTCAAGTTCGTCAGCAAAGCTTAAGTATTTCTAAATATAATTGTGTAAGATGTAAGATATTACAGACCGTTTCAAATCATAAGTGTTCACCTATACACAGGAGAACAGTAATCTTAACTCCAATTCGAATGAATTTTCGCCGGACGGCAGAAGCGATTGTTTACGACAGACTTTGGAACATTCCTACTTTGGTGGCCAAAAGTCAAAGGTAATTGATGGTGTTACGTACACAAACCGAAGGTTGTTCATGTCTAGCAATTTCTTTTGTGTGGCCGATCGGGAAATCTACAGAGGATTGACAGTGTGACAACATGGAACAGAGCTGTACGTCTGGAACCGTGGTGTACAGTGTTAAACCAGACATCATGCTATCATGAGTGAGAGTGGTGAACACATACAAGAGGAAAGACCGGGAGAGGAACCCATTTCAACGCAGCTGAGAGATGAAACATCCGAGGAACACATTGAAGACTCTCAGTCGGTTAGCCCTCTGTCATTCAAAGACTTCCTACCCCGGCCTCTAGGAGAACAAGGAAGCTCTGAATACGAGACATTCGGGTAAGTACTGTTTAACTCGTTAGTATATGACGACCATAGAGCCATGTGGAAGAATTGTAGATCAAGGAGGTTAAAATGCAGGGGTGGCTGCTTATGTTACAGGTGTAACAGGCCAGAATGTACCCCTAACTAGATACATGTATTATGAATATAATGTACCCACTAGTAGCTTTATTCTTACCAGGGGTATTCTGTGACCTGCATGCTACACCCACACATCAAACAAACTTATTTCTTTAGAAAGCTTATTTCTTTAGAAATAATGTTTTTTTTTTGCAACAACCTGGGGAAATTTTAAAACCTCCTTGTTCAGATGACAGCAATAGACTTTCTGATATAAGCCATCGACTCCACTTTCCCTGAATTTTCTTCTTTCTCTGTGTATTTTTTTTTTCAATTTGGTCCTACCATTCCCCTTTTTTGTCTGCCATTTTGTTCGATGGGAGGGGAGGGGCAGCTAGACGTTCTTTCCGCAATATATTGTATGTAGTAAATAAATATGTTTGATATATGACGTTACATGTATTTATGGGTGGCGAACTTTGGACGAATTCAGAAAGAAAGTTTACTTGGGGACGGATCACGTTTGATATAGGAGGGGGTGAATAGACGCAAAAGGGCAAATCAGTATTGATCTGAGTGGGGTGATGAGAGTTCAAGGACCAAATTTGTGCATATATTATACTACAGAACTCTGGTAGACCGAGCAAACGCGTTTCTTGAAGACCATCGTCAGTATGACGTCAGGACGTGTGAGACGCTGGAAGTGCAGTACTCAGGGGCCCGGCAGGTGGCGTGCACGGACGTGTCGCTTGTCGGTGGCAGGAGGGACAAGGACCCGTATTTTAGAGGACTCAGGTCAGTCGGCGATGAAGACCACTGTTACACTATGTAGCTAAGACGGTGAAGACACCATATCTTTTGTACGAAGGCCCACAACTACACGTACCTCTTTCACCGCCCTTCCACACCGCGCTGCCAGCTGCAGAAGAGGTGTATGGCAGGTATAGCCCTTGGCAGCGCAGTGTGACAGGGCTGTGAAAGAGGTGTAGCGCAGTGTCGTTGTGGGCCTTTGTACTTTTGAGATATCTTGCTTACAAGCCAATGAAGACAATATCATTGGAGACAGAAGTACAACCACAGAAAATTGCAAATAGCAATCTAGCTATTACTATACTATAGTAGCATATGTACATTTTATTACCATCATGAAAAATGCAGGCATTATCTGTGTGTGTGTGTGTGTGTGTGTGTGTGTGTGTGTGTTGTTTGTTTGTTTGTTTGTTTGTTTGTTTGTATGTATGAGTGTGTGTGTCTTGTGTCCTTGTTTCCGTGTATCTTACTATAACTGACAGTAAGGTTCTAAATATTTCCTGGCCGGAGGTGTGATATCTCCAACTTCTTTTTTGTACACTACGTATACAGACTATGGCTTGTACCGTGCGAGACCCACAGTCCGACCTCGCGGGCTCCACGTATAGGAAAAGTCGATTTTGTCCCGAGGAAGCTGGCAGACGATCTGGCACAAGCCGGTTCCGACCAGTTCGAGCCACTTGGCGAGCTGTTGGGAAGGATGAACGCGTCACTCCGACAGGACCCCATTCCAGGTGCTCATTTCATACTCTTTTTTATGCTTTTCTATGAAATAGACCGATTCCGGACGTCCATCAGCTCAACCAATGAGAAGGTGGCAATTGGCGGTTTCACCAATGAGAGAGTGGCTGCATGACCGTCAAAAAATCGATCCTGAAGCCCCGTTCACCTCCGTGAAAACAATGCATTTTTTTTCAAATATATTTGACGGACATGCATATGAAGCCACTCTCTCATTGGTCGAACCGCTAATTGCCCTTTTCTCATTGGTTAAACTTCTAATTGTGATGGACATTCGGGATAGGTCTATTTAAATGCATTTAAAACTCATTGCACAGGTGAAGTCCTGACAGTGGAGACCTTGGACATGGAGTGTTCTGGGGACGAGACGGACCCCGACTCCTGTAGCTGGCACGAGAACGAGGCTGGGTGCACCTGCTGCTGCAGCTGTCTGCGCAGGACAGTCCACCTGTATGTCATCAGGGTGTTCTACCTGGAGGGGCCACCTGCTGGGGAGGAAATCAGTACGTGTCGATGTACAGATATTTATGGGTAGACTTGGGTGTCGGACGCCATATTGGTGGGGTGGATGGATCCAACATGGCGCTGTTCCAGATTTGGAACGAACGGACAATGATTCTAACTATTAACTTCATTGTCCAGTGCTCTCCCAATTGGCAAGGGCAACAAGAAGGTAAATTTGCAGAAAAAGTGGAAAAAGTGTGAAAAACTTACTTATAACACAGAACTACGATCGCATATACCTCATACCTGGTCCACGCGCCACACGTTCCTTCGAAATCGTGCCCAAGTGCACGTCGGCCAAGCTAGAAACTCCTTGGTAGTTTGATCGCTGGCTTCGTGCCAATATCAGGCTTCAATCTGATTCCGCAAGCTTCGTGTGGAGGCCGTCTAGTTGAGTCTTGTCCTTTTCCGTCCCCCAGCTATGGTGGATTTTGTCCCCCGTGTGGTCCACCCCGCCACGTCATTTATAGACGACCCGATCCTGGAGACCTTCCCCAGACTGACGTCCCAGGCGCGCGCCTGGGTCAGGCACCACCTGGACCGGGGAGGGCGGATCACCAACCTACAGACGGTCAACGTGAAGGCCACCCGGCATGGCATGGCAGGTAACGGGGAAAATCTATTCTTCTCAAAAATAAACACAAAACTCTTTCTGAATTAAAAACTAAACTTTCCTTCCAACACTAGTACTAGGAAGATTTGGAGCTTACCCCAAATTTTTGGCTGACTCTTTCAACCTTGTTCACGGGATGGACCCGTCTACTCTTGGAACATTCCGTTAGAGACATGCGACCGTAGTAGCGGGTCATACATGCCAGATAACTTGTGTCGCCCCCCGGCTCTATCTGTGAGCTCTAATGTAGACCGCCTCCTTCACTCCCCTTGCAAAAAAAAGACTCGAGGATTTTGACAAAACCCTTTCAGCTGTTATTGAGGTGTTTCCTACCGTTCTTAAATTTTCCAACAGATTCCCAGAGATCGTTTTACATCGAGGGCAGTGGACGCGTGCTGTTCGTCCGGACGCTCAGACTGGTGTACGTCAAGCGCGCCCCCTTACAAGACGGAAGAGAAGTGCAGCCATGCGCTCGAACCTTCGCACCGCTGCAACTCAATGAGGACGGCTACCGAACCAAACCACAGTTTCAAACGGTCTTGAAAACCATGGAGGAGGCAGTGCGATGGCTTCGAATCGCAGGTATGAACTTTGGTAGAAACATCAACTAAGGTTCAGGGAAAAGCTAGAGTGTTGTCGAGCTAGAATGTTTTCTCAATTTAGTATGCTCATGATGCCTTGTTGTCCCTTTCTTGCTACCCTGGAAGCCAGACTAGTACCGGGCCGATAGCCGTTTTCCTTCGGCAGCTAGTATAGGGCCTGCCAAACTACCCCCGGGCTCAACTCCCCGTACCGATAATTTAGATAGGCAGGCGAAGGGCTCTTGGCTGCCGAAGGAAAACGGCTAACGGCCCGAATCTAGTCTGGCTCCCAGGGTACTTTCTTACGTCGTTTCTCCCCCCAGATTGCCGTATCATCTCTGCGGAAAGTCTGACCGTCAAAATCCCGCCCAACATCCCCCGCGGCTGGGCTCACCTGGTGGGAAACGAGTCCCTGTGGTGCCGGAACAAGTCGCTAGGGGAGCTGCACCTGGTCATGCTAAGAGTCTACTTTGAAGGGCCGCCAAAGGACGCTGAAAACACAAGTCGGAGTGCTAATATTCCTCCACAGCACGACATGGGACAGTCAAAGTGCATCCTTCTATGAGTGATATATTGTTACTATGCAACATTATATGTCGTATAAATTGTTACCATGTAATATTGTACTTCGCTTTCAAACACTAGTACCATTGCGTGACTGTCACATGCAACTGAACATGCACGTGACACATACATTGTGAAGTCTAGTCCACTGGAGGCCAATAGGTCAAAATGATCGATTGCTTCTGTTGTCTAAAAGGTAATTCACAAGTTCAAAGTTAGTCTGAGTACGCGTAAGTGCAGATATGACATTTCTAAACATTTGTGGGGGCCTCAAATGATCGATGTAGATGGCATTTCAAAACACTAGACTAGCGGAAAAGAGCGTAGTAGCACGTGCTTGAGGATAGTATATCTATATTTTTGGCTTGTGAGGAAACATTGTCAAAGCACGAATGGACTCTTATCCATATATAGGTTGGTCCTCGTGGGGCAAAATACACCGATAAGAGCTGCTTGTGGCGCCAATTCACGTCAAAATCGATCAATCCAAATATATTTGTGACTGCGTCATACGCAGAGAAGTGTTTGACAAAACTGCAGGATTTTCAAAGCCAATTTTCTGGTCATATATATTTTCAACGTAGTTAGTTGAATGGATCCTATCACAGAGCGTACTGGTATCTGTGAGGCAAAAATGCAATATATCTGATGCCATGCCGGAATATGGATGGCAGATAAATATGAAGAGAGGAGACAAAACAAGGCTCTGATTTATTGTTTTGTCTTTTACTTTGATGCAGAGATGCATTTCATTCCTTTTATATGCCACGTTCACGGAGTCAAAACCATTTGTACAATGATTGAAAACTTTTATTTTTCAGTGACAAATGGATGTTGTAATAGTTAGCAGTAAACATAGCACAATATAGGTATCATTTCTTGTTTAACAAGGTTTATGATGTCAACATTTGAAAATGTAGAAACCTTGTTTTTTTGTGCCTGCCTTGTATTTTTTCGCCCTATCGCATTAGATTTGGAGTCTGCGGAGGATGCCATCGATCCATAAAATTTACTTGCAGTGGCCTTAGCTTAGCCAAAAACGTAACCATTGTCTCATGGTTCTAAGCCTTCATAGCGCGACTGGTGTAATCCCTTGGTACACAGGATTATTTACTGTGACGTTTCATCTCCCAGGCAACCTGTTCAAAACTAAGACTCTTAAGAGTGGCCGAAAGGCTTATAAGTAGATTAAGGTCAGTCTAATAATGTATGTAAAACGTATCAGGAATTCGAAGAATGTGGTTTGCGAACTGAGGATAAGAAGGGGCTAGTGATATAATAATAGTAATAACTCTATTTCTACATGAGGTTCTTATGTACCCTACCGATTGAGTTATTTTCAAGGACAGATTCCGTTCGGTTTCTTAATTGGCGAGGCGTTAATTCAATCATAGTCGGTAACACTGCGGACCCTATCGTACTCTCCAAGCAGAGGTTGTGGGGGAATGATCGTTAGCTTTTTATATATGGCCGTTTTTTTGTCGCTACGACCATCGGTGGCCGGCGACCTTCTCTGGCTAATGGATACTGTCTTGCCACCGAAAGGGATCTGCTTGGAGATTACCTATCGGGGGTGTGCCTGGTAGCGAGTCGGTCCGTGTCTCTATCTGCTTCCTCCATCTTCCTCCTTTCCAGACTCGGAAGATCGATGTTTTGGACGGGGGCCGATGTGGTTCCTGTGTGATAAATACTCAAGGGTAAGTCTACAGTCCAGGCAAACTTCCGCGGGAATTCACTAGGCGGTTCTACACCTACACACGTGCACCGGATGATAGTACGTGTTGAATAGCCTCTACCATGCTTCGGGAGGTGGCTGGAAAGAGTAAAAATGGCCAAATAGAGAGATAGCATGCCAAGGGAGCTGGTCTGCTGGAGAGAACAGTTTGCCGCTCGTTTGCTCTACTTTTCCAGCCGCTTCCCGAAGCCTGGTAGAGGCTACATGTTGATGCCATTGAAACGGGGTGCTACAAAATGGCAGTAAATGTCAATATCAGACAGATTTTATAGTGCAGAAGATTATTTTCTATTTCGCCCTGAAATTATATTGGATGCCTTTAAGAACACTGAACTTTCTTCACTCTACCACCTGTGCTTGTTTTTCTAGCTAAATTTAAAGACGGCAAAGCTCCAAATAGCAGTGAGCTGGCCGAGACGTGTCGTGCGCGCGCTAAAAGGTTATCATCCAACCTATGACGTCAGTACCACCGACTAAAACAACCTCCAATCAAAGCACTCCACGGTTGCCATAGCAACACCGCTCTTAAGCAGATTGACGGACACCCAATCATTAATCAGCATGGGGCAGACCAAAAACGTATGGGGTGAAATTTGTAAAAAAAAAATGCTGCAGAGTACATAAATACAATGGAAACACATTAGACAGTTTGCATACATAAAAAAGTATGAATCCTACAAAAAATATATAGTGAAATTACGTTTTATCATAATTGATCGCAGATTATGCTCTGATATTTTTTGCAAACCCTCCCCTTCCGCTATCATTATTGGTTTGCCCCTAGCCGGCCAGGTGACGTGTTTGTTGGCGGTTGAGAGAAGCGCGCGGCTGCCGGAGTCACAGAGCACATTTCAGGTCTGCCCCGGTGGAGTGACAGCTAGAGCCGTACGACACACACAAGACCCGAGGTGGTTCAACATTCTCACTTCTACTAAACACCGAACAGGAAAACACACTTCTCAACATGAAGGTAAGACTCCTCTGAAATAACTGCGTTTAAGTCTGTGTTACTCTAAAACGTGGCAAGGCTGACTTTCTCCTAGTCGCCATGTACTCATTTTGACGTTGCGTATTTTATAGCAGCCCTCGACAAAGATACGGTAAGCTCTCTCTCGAAAATGTATCTACCTCTCACCATACGATAACCTAAGAACAAGATTGTATACAAGATTTGCCGCATGAATTTTTTCATATTTTCGTCAATTTCTTTCTATTTTTATTGAGCGCTAGACATAAATGAAATTTTTTCTACGTGTATTTTTTGGCCGCCATGGCAGACCTATCAGTCTAAGGTATACATAACAATGGGCGCTGGCGAAATGGCGGGCGCGTTTTTTTTTCTTCTCTGTGTGGGAGGCGGAAATGCGTCTGAGAGTGGAACTTCAGTTCGCAGAAAACACCCCCTACAGAGAACCACTTGTTGATTCAAGTATTAATACATGTGACATATCGATCCATGCAGTATATACGCGCGGCTTAGAGGCATCCAATGCGATTTCAGGGCGGTAAGACAAAACAAAATATTCTGGATGAGGAAATTTGTCTGGTATTTTCATTTTCTGATATTTATGAGTATGATGATGTTTACTGCCATTTCTTAGCACATTTTTGTCATCATTGCATGCTTCAAGAGTTTTAAATAGCCCAAAAACAATTTACGTGAGGTGTTTCTTTATTTTTTGGGTACCACCCATAAATAGCTAGAACCAGCCTACGATACAAAACAAGCAACCGTTTTCCGTCAGTAGTATCGCATGTTTGCTTCACAGATATCCCTACGCTATGGGATAGGATTGATTCAACTTACTACATTAAAAGAATGGCCAGAAAATTGACTTTGAAAATTCAGTTTTGCCGCCTTAAAATTACATTGGGTGCCTTTAAAGTACGCATAATCCTATATCAGACTCATATTCAAAACTAGCGCTAGACTACGCATCCTCAAAACTCCGACACCGTGAAATTCTGCTTTCCACGTATTTTAAGGATAATGTTAAAATTTCTTTTTTTTTTCACCGCGCGGCGCTCCTCAATATTAATATCAGACAGGTATCATATGTATCATTGTAATTTTTATCTTAAATATGAGCGTATCGTCATCACTTGGGAGTATTGCGTTGCGTTGATTGCAGATTTCTGATTGAGTAGAAGGTTAGATGGTACGATGAAATATCATGTCAATAAATAATATATAATCACGTCGCTGTTTTGCAAGATTGAGTTACAGCTCCGAAGAATGTTTCATTACAAGCACTCGATCGCTGGCTTAGGTTCGCAAACAATTCTTGAAGTGTTCGATACAAGGTCTCTTAAATATTAATGTGTTTCTATATATGGAGAAATAGACGAACAAGTATTCTTAACCATATGCTATGTTAGATTATTCGTTATTTTAGAGGGAAAACTTTTCGCAAATGTATTGGAGAAAAAGAGACCGCACGCGTCCTTGAATGTAACAAAAATAGGATACTGTTGATTGTATTCAACAGAATGAAGGTATCGGTCTAGGAGGTATACTGTGAGGTGGTTTAGGGTCGTTGTTTGTCAGGTATATGACTCCTGTAGCCGTGCCAGGTACAACATGTACCCTGTTGACTCCACAATACATGTAAAAGGCCATAAAACATCGAGTGTTCTCCACCGTTGTGACAACCACTGCACTGTTTGAGTATTTGAGCTCACTTCCTCTTTTGTATTACAGCTGTAGATCTTGACCAAGCAGAAGTACATATATACGTGCGTGGTCACGATTCTCTCTAGTTCTAGCGACGTCGGCATGGTAGAAGTTTCGAGGCTGGTTTACGCGTCCCGTCTGTTAGCATGGCTATCCTATAGCGTCTACCAGGGGAGTGGCTAACTGTACTCCTTTAGCAGGCCAAGGAGATTTAAGTGGACCAATTCCCCTGGCAGGTTATATGTCGTTTTGGGCCAATTTCCAGCCGCCGTCTGAAGCCTGGTAGAGGCTATGGTTATCCAGCCTACACAGTCTATTTTTGTCTCGCCATCACATGGTCTGCATGTGCGTCGTACACGCAAGCTCAACTCATCAATATGCAGAAGTTAGAACCAGTTTCACAGGACCTACACTGAGCTTTGTTTTCGATCTCCCACCTGCATTTTACAACATATACTTTAGGGCGGTGTCTCGGGTATACGTCTAGGGTTGGGCACGGGCTCTTGAGATTGCAATCTAGCAGTCTACTGTGTAGGAAGCTGGTAGTCTCCAAGCAGAGGGTTGGGCTTATTTTTGGCGCGTTTATAAGGCTTTTTTTTGCACTGGTTTCTTTTTTTTTACACCAACTCAACCCATAAAAAAGATACAGGTGCGAAAAAGAAAGCCAAACGCCAAACATCCAATAAATGAGGCCAAATCCAAACCTCTGCTTGGAGAGTAGGACGCTGCACGCAAACAGGAAAATAGTATCAGAGAAGATTTTTGCCGAATAAAAAAAACGTCTTACGGAAACGGGAAGAACTACCCAAACGTGTTCTAACGGAGAACATATTTTTGGCCCAACGACACATCATACGAGAGTTGCTTGGAAACAGCCCAGCGAGAGAAACGCAGCAGACAATGCCGGGCCCGATTAGTCTGCCGCCCAGGCCGCTATGTCAATATTAACGACCCAGTTTGTACTGGAAGCTCCGCTTAGAGAGCTCGAGCTGCAATAATCTTTTACCGATTTATTCTGTATATCACCCAGGGTAAAAGGGGAACAGGTGCCGGCGGTTACACTGCCCTTTGTGCGAACTAGAATTGAGAAATGAGCATGATTTTTGTGTTGTTGGAAAGGTGCCAAAGAAATATGAAAGGTGTAGAAAATAATTCATTCCTATTTTTGGCTGTGAATCTTTAGTACTAGGCCTAGGGACACGTGGCCTAATTACCAAGGCGGTTACATTTTCCTAGAAATATGGCTGTCCTCTAAAGGACATTATTGGAAAATCTTTTAAAGCTGTAAGTCCGACATTGCCGGAGTTGGTAGAAGGGGTTGCTGGGAAAATATTCAAGCAGATGTATTGTGCGTTTTCCAACGAATCGCACCTCTCCTGATCTGCCAGAGCATTCAGTAAACGTTACAATATTCTTTCCTACATCTGCTTGGAGACAATCGTGTTAGAAAAAAGATTGTTCCGCTCGAAAAACCCGTCAGTTCTGTATCGGCAGCTGCGTACTTTTAGCCTCTCCATCACATGTCCACTAGACCGCGCAACCCCCTTAAACAGCCTCTTGATTCGTCCTGAATACGTAGTTGATCAACTGTATTTGCGTTGTTAGTTACTAAATACAAGGGCTAGAAAACACTTCAACACGGTGCATTGTCCGGCCGGATTTCTAATGGGACTATTGAAACATCCACTGCGCGAAATCGCATCTTTAAGCACAAATTAAGCCATGCGTAAATCTGCATGTAATTTAAGAAACGGATTCTTTACGGGTGTTTTAAAGTGAGCGAAAAGAACAGATTTTGTGGAGTGATTGTTCAACATCTTGTTACAACAACTTAGCCATTCAAACCAACAACGGCCAGAAAAAGCTTGAAAACACGAAAGATTGCCCAGGTAACGGAAATACCAAGTCTCATCTGGGCCACTTAAGGCATTGAATTACACATGAAGTAGCATCAAAATAACTCAAAGTCAAGTTGAACTTACAAAGTCAATGACCCGATCTGTAACAACGGAAACTTTGGAGGATCAATATATCTATTTATGTATATAGAGCAATAGGGGGGTTGTCGGCCGACTATTATTATGTCATACTTTATTTATATGGCGGTGTTTTTGTTTACCTGCAGGTTGCTATGGTGATTTTGGGTCTTGCTGTCGTATTCCTGATGGCCTGGACTGCGCATGCCCAAACAACAAATGCGACCGCCGGTAAGTTAGACCTGCACAAGACAAACATTGATCTGCGCATGTCCCAGAAGTTTTTTTTTCATTCACCCACAACTCTGGTATATAATGATATGATATGAATCTTTATTGCATGTTCTTGCCCAGATGGGCTAAATGCACAAGAGGATGTCCAGTATGTAAAACATGAGTATTTCACACTGGTACGCTATATTCTAAATGCAAAGTGCTAGGAATCTATACATTACAATAATACTATAAACTACCTATCATCTACTGTTAGTTGCTCTTTCTTCTCTCTTAATAATAATAATAGCTTAAAAATTTGTGATAAGATCATAAATTTTTGACACTAATTTAAAAACAATCAGAAAAAGGAAGTCTTACATGTGGTACATCTACCATAGAAAATCTTTTTTTCAACTTCTTAAAACAGATGCTTTATTTCTATTAGCGTACCCCTTGAGTAATCTTAGTAGATTTAAGAGGAAGGCGACAGTTCTTAAGGCTCACTGGAGATGACATTGTGTTTGTCCGTTGCTATGGCGATCGCAACGGAGATTTGAGTACATCTTGAGATCTGCAGTAACAAGAAACACCTCTTGAATAGCTTGTCGTGTTACGGTGTTTGTATAGTTAATTCTGAAAAGATGGAGGGGTTGATTTTGTGTGTTTTAAATGTGTAGCTATAAAACACACAAACACATACTAGTAAATGTGTCAGAAACTATGGTAGCAACCATACTACATGCATACCTGCTTTCCTACCTTATAGGATAACGCTTTTGTTCTTTGTTTTTATTAGCTGCGACGACTGCGGCACCCACTACGCCAAGTAAGTGCACTGGCTTTATATATTCTTCTATGATGGACAGAAATCTCTCTGAAACGTCAGAAGGATCGAGGGTAGAGACACCAAACCTGTTACGAAGTTTTGCATGAAGTCAGTTGGCTCACAGTTTGAGATAATGAATACGTTTCAGAGATAAAGAAAGGCGGAGGAATTGATTGAACAAAATCAGAGACTTTGCTATAAAATAGCAAAAAAAAAAGTAGTATCTAAAAAAAAGAAACATAACTCGTGAACAGATGATCATATATTGCTGTTTTGTGATCCCTGGGAAAAGTATGTATATGCAACAACGACGTTTTGCAAAACGTCCTTGGTATATGCAAAATTTCAGGGGGAAATATGTAGCTTGAAATTTTGACGTGAGTGTTGAAAACCAGTGGGCGGAACCAGAGGCAAACAAAAAATACAAAGATATTGAAATATTAGAAAAATTCTTTAGTCAGTACAAAAACCAACACGTTCGCTCTGGCGACTTTTAAAAGACATTTTCACCCGTGAACCTTTCAATACGCGTTCCCGGCGGCATGTTATTGGTGACAATCACAACACGCTATCGTCTGACCTATGCAGACGGTTTTTTGAGCTGCCGGTTCAAGAGACTCCATTAACCGACCACTTAGCGGAGTAATGGACCATATTCAGCCTCCCGGGTGGCACAGAAATGGTCGGGTCTTTGTCGTGACGTCACTTGAAGTCTAGACTGAAGAGGCTTGTGGGACAACGTTTGGGAGTATATGACAACTCTACTGTGGGCAAACCAGGCTAAACGAAAATGCAGCACACTAGCCTGGTCACCAAACCTATTTGAGCTGCCGAGTGTATAAAATTTGCAGAGAGCTAGGACCAAAGGAGACTCGGCAGCTAAAATAGGTTTGGCTCGAAGTATTTCGGCAAATTTACGTTGTACACCGATCAAGAAAACAGTGTGAATATCTAATCTTTTTACACAGGTGGTGCGGAAACCGTTGTGGGCGCAACCACTCTGCTGATGGGGGCCCTCCTCCTCAACGCCGCTCGCGAGGCCCTCGGCTGGTGAAAGAGCTGCCTGGTCAACGGCGCCGCCTAGTGGACATATTGTGTAGCTGCAGTCCGACTGCAGTGGAAGGATGTCCGCTTGGTGTCTATGAGTTCTACACTATTTTCTATATATTACAGCAAGTTTGACATGTAACGCCATGTGTGCATGAGAACGGTGTTGACAATCTTCACTATTTCGGTACAATCGTTTGTGTGTCTTACAGAAAATGGGAGCAAATGAAGGCCAGAGGAAAACTTCCTTTGGCCCGAAAAGCTCTCCTTTTGCTGCTTGAAGAATCTTTTTTTGTGAACATGAAAATATTGTGTAGAAAGGAACTGATTTTTGTTGTTGACGTGCTTTGTACTAAAATCTATTAGAAGATTGATTATTGGTGAGCATTTTTTGACAAATTCAATCAAACATACCGCACTAACTTAACTGTGTAAACTTTATATAACACTGTCAACATGTGTTTCATCTATACCTGAGTGAAAATCTTATAACATAGAAAAAATATCAATCAAGTAACTATTCACAGATCTTTTGACAGGAATTTGGATATTGTACAAGACCTTGAGTCAAAAAAAAAGTTATGATGTGCGAGTGGCCTTGTCACACTGGGGGACAACACCATGGTGTGATGTGTTTGTGTATCTTTTGGAAATAAAAAAAATAGGATCACCTTCATGTATTGGTTCCTTTGTATGTATGCACTTGAGTTTAGCCATCAAGTCAAGGTCTTTCCTGCACTAAATTGTGCATAAGGCAATGCCCACCTCAGTTTGTATAGCCCTTGGGCCACACAACTTGAAATTAATATACAGCAGGGGGCTAGTCCACTTGTAATGTGTGTGTGTGGTTAAACTCTAATGCTGAGACCTCTGAAGAAAAAGTATGTAAAAGTCTTTTGACTTAGAATAGAAAGGTATTAAAAATCACAACCTACCTACCAATGTAAAGCATTCACACACTCAACCATTGCACTTGTTGGACTTAAGCCATAGTACTACTACTTCATCAGAAATAATGACCACAAAACGACATTCTTTAACAAGGTTGATTTGACGTTTTTTTCAAGATGCATCATAACACACCCAATTTTATCATATAGTGAACACAGTTTGTAGTGTATAACATCTATTCTGCTGGAAGTACTAACAATATATCCACTAACACAGCTACACAGACGCTGCCAACGTTTTCTGCAAGTGGTAACCAAGTTCACCCCTAAAATATGCACTACAGCTAAGATCATCCCTTGGGTTGGAAGCGCAGTTATAACGTTGATCAGAAGAGGGTGCTAGGAAACTACAAAGCTAGCTAAATACTGTTTACCACTTGCAGAAAACATCTATACAGTCATATAATAATACACGGTGCATGTCAAATGAGCTCAGCTTGGATTAGAAAGCATGAGAAGACCAACAAAGAAGAGGAAAAGGGAAACAAGAACCAAACTTGATTAAGTGCGCTTTTATACAGCAAAAAAAAGGTGCAAGCCGGCAAAGGAGACTGCAAAAAGAATAAATTTTTTCCAACTGAAAAAAAAAGTTTTGTATACTATCTGCCATTCTTCATTTCATACCACCAATGCCCACAGAAATGCCAATTAGAACTGTTCTTTCCTTGGGAGTCTATATCCAGACAGAGGAAGGCTGGTGTTCCATACTGTTTTTGGATAGTTGCATAGTTGTGTGTCACAGAAAACTCTCTACTTGCAACCTATCGTTTGAGAGCCATCTCCTACCATAGCAACAAAAGTAGGCAGCTTGCAAAAAAAAGCATAGGGGAAGAAGTGCAAGAACCAAACGTACAGTAGGAGATATCTGACAGAAAGGGAAAGAAAGAAAAGGTAAATGAAGACACTGCGAATGTCGCATTATGTACATACATAGGTCGTAGAAATCGAGCACTTTGTTTACAAGTACGACAAACAGTTAGTATCAGAGTTGCTGTATAGTTGATCGTACAGACCAGTTCCTGGTGAGGGTGGGTATCTCACCAGTGTTCCTAGTGGAGATGGGTCTCTCACCAGGGTTGTCATACAGGTGTACATCTAAACGTGGTCTTTATAACAGTCCAACCTTCTCTTCCTGTGGTTTTAGGATGTTATTTCTCCCTTTCCTAGTGGTAGAAGCGTGCCAGGCTATTGTAACTGTCTAAATCATGCACAGCCACAGCGAGACTATCTCCTCAAAGGCCCCAGGTAGGTATCTGCACTGTCTGCTGCAGAATTTGTAACATGTGATAAGAGAATTCACTGCCTCTTGCTTGCTAGTCAAGTTGCACTGCAGTCAAATCCAGTCCTACTGTAACAAAATTAGGTGCTTTTTGCAAAGAATTTGGTAGTAGTTTGAGCACATAATTGATTTTTCTAGAGGTTGTGAACCAGAATAGTCATTTTTTTAAATCTGGGTACAGTCAAATTTACTGCAGAAAGCACCAGCTTGTGTTACAAGGTTTTAACCAACTAAGCGTAGACCATTGAATTCTGGTTCACGGTGTTTCAAATTGCCAGCAGTGTAAGTATCAGCATAGTTACACGAGCCTGAAAAGTACCAGACCTCAACGAACATCCCCTCTGCATTCCAGGGTGATTCCAGCTAAACTAACATCTGTTTTTGTTTTTATTTATTTATTTACTTACTTATCCACACTACAAGTAGAAGGTACACCACGTACAGACTAGACATCTTCCCCCGAATGCTGAGAGAGATTTCCCTGAGATCAGAAGAAAGAAGGATGCGTCGATGGTTGATTACTTATTATTTGATTCACAGACTAAAACGTACTCCATACCTAACGTTGTACTACCATCCCATGCAGGCTTATATTGAGTTTCAGGTGATGATGCCAGAGCTACATTTTTGTCGAAGCTCTGTCTGTAAGTTTATATGATGTTGTTATAACTGTTTGGCTGCACGGGATGGCGGTAGAGCTAGAGTGGTCCAGACGATATACAGGTAAGTGTTGGTGTAAGAGCCGGAAGCCATGCCTTCATCAGAGCTGCAACAGTCCCTCTGCATTACCTATCACAGAGAAAAACAGAGAAAACATGAAAAAGTGGATAAGTCTAGACAGCATTCTTTACAGGAAAATTCAAGAAGAATTCGGAGGCTTCAGACCTCCATGAAATATTTAGATCTAAACAGACGGACATGCACACAAAGTCACACACACACACAAATACAGACATACCAAAAACAATACCTCAATTTTTCATGGAGGTAAAAAACTCCCTAAGGAAAATGTATTCCTCCAAAACGAATGTTTTGACATCAGAGACATTCCCCCATTTTCTGCTTCAAGTGAATATCATACTTTTGCTATCAAACTCAAAGATTTGGATTTCTTCAAGCCAGTTATGTTGAAGCCTAGTTAGTTGGTCTCTCACCTTCACAATGTTAAAAAGATGGAGATTGACCTAGACACTCTCTTGACTTTTCCTCACACAGCGCCTGACCTTCTTCTTAAATTCTCCGTTGTAGTCTTCCCGCCAGTCTTTCTGTGGAGGGCAAGAGGAACACAAAAAAGTCACGCTATTTCCAAAGACCTTAGTCATAACGCCCATGGTAGTGGAATTTATGACTAAGTAAGTCAGTAAAAAAGATCCAATGTTAAAATTGTTATACCCAACACACAGACCATTACAACAGCTATCTACACATTTGTTCTAAACCTACAAAGTAAATCCAATTTGTCAAATCAAAAGGTGATCTAAGACTATTTCCTGAGAACGGTGAAAGAGGCTATTTACATCAGGGCCCATCTCCCTTCACTTAACCGCGACGGGGGCTGACATAGTCTACCAGATACCTCTGACCCAGTGTTGATGTCACACTTCAGAGAAGACACGTGACAAGCCTCACTGGGTCAGTCTACTGAGGAAGACCAGAGTGACTGGTCGAAAGCTATACTAGGTGAGAGAACTTCTTTGTGTTGGAGCAAAAGTTTTAACTTGAAACAAATTGGACGAGTGACTCACAGCAGCATCAACATTGGCTGGTGACTCGTCGTTGGGATCTGCGAGCATGGAGATGACGCTCATGATGATGGACTCTACTGTGTGGATAGGCAGCCACCGCTCGCTGGCGTCCTCGTAACCGTACTTATCCTCACCAGGCTCGTGCAGGATGGAAATGCACACCTCCCCGTTCTTCTCAACTGGGATGGAAACACATGGTATCTTTCACTATTGTGTTTAAAGACCAAATGACACCAAAAAAAGTCTGTAAAATACATATACAAAAGTATACATACAATATAGTCACTTGAAGTTTGTTTCAATCATGTTGACTGAGAAATTGAATCTGTATGGGCATCCAAAGTCCATTTTTGGAGATGCTCTGGCAGGCTTCCCAATCGCACACCTCAGGCATCTCTTTTTGCATCTCTATGTTTTATTTTTGCATTTCTGTGCTTTTTCCTGAGCTGATGTCACCCTGTGATGTCAGGACACCACCCAGCAGCACCATCTAGTTTTAGCAGGAAGTACTGCAGTCTACTTGTTACAATACTGATCACATGTACACACATGTACATCTGATTGTATAGAAACATTCTAAACAGTCACCATCCCTGGTAAATGTTCAATTAGTACTAATAGTACCTACTCTTATAAATGTAAGTGCACGTTTTCATACATGTTTCCTGAAAATACAAATATTACAATGTACACATCTGGGCAGCTATGCATATTTGAGGTATAAGTTGAACTAGAACATGAGAAGAGTGTTGTTGTCAGTACTGACCATTTGGATGCCAGATCTCAGAGATGAACTTCATCTTGGGTGGTTTCTGTGGGTACTCCTTAGGGAAGTACAAGTGGGCCTTGAAGAAGCCACCCTCACTGCAAAACAAAAGGAGATAAAAAACATTATTTCCTCAACACGTGGAAACCTACTAAAATATTTGGGTGCACTGGTGCACGTATAGAAAAAATTGGGTGCACAGCTCCAATTTTGGGTGCACTAAGGTGCACATGCACCCAGTATTTTGAGCCCTGACAGTGCTAGTAATGCAAAAAGATGCAAATTTATTATATATAATACAACTTGTTCCAATCACAGCATCTTCAAGTTTCCATTTCCTTACTGCTTGTAACAATCAATCTAAGCACACTATCTCATAAATAAAGAACACAAAATGAAGCCGTAACCTAATTTTTACTGTTCCCCATCCAATCTGCTAATGGATAGACAGTTTTTACTTGAGTGTCAAGATTTTAGCACAAATAATATATAGACTCCTGTTTCAGAGATATTTCTGATAAACTTTATGATTTATGTATGACCTTTACTCCTGAAAATTATTGAGGAACTGCAGTGACATTTTTAAATGAAGGTCCACAAAACAAGTCATTAATTAGACTATAGTGTTGCCCAAGTGACAGCATTAAGTCAGATAGAGTCAGAGTTTACAATAAATCAAAAGTATTCCATACAAGAAAAACCCATTGCCAGAGATCACCCTGTGATTGCTCAAAACTTCAGGTCATACCAAAGAAATTGGAGGGTACAAAAGGGGTTGGCAGGAAACTGGTAAAAGGGTTTATTTCTTAGGCGCTTTCAGTATTTTCAAAAAAAAAATCAGATAATGTTGACTTTTAAAGCATTCTTGATGAAAAAAAAATTCAATGATGCTATTATGACAAACAAGACAAAAAGGGGAAAATATATTGTTACTTCCTGCCAAAGTTATATTAATTTTATACAGCACTGTGATAGGTCTGACAAATGATCATATCTAGCTACCATGAATAAATGATATCTTGCAAAACAGGATGACAACATGGTGAAAGAAGAGACATGGTACAAATGTAGACATAACCTGTCACCGTGGACAGGAAAAAAACAAGTCCTTCAGGAAGGAAGGAGACACAGACTGCTCGCCAACGCGAGTCACAACAGTTCAGGACTAAAGTGGTTTGTTGTTGTACATTCTCAAGTCTAGTTCAAGTGGAGGGGGCTAGTCTCTCAAGTTCACCCAAGTATGTCAGCATTTTATAATTCTGGTAAACTGCTATTTCACCTAGTGCCACATAATATGGATAAGAGACCATGTTTTACATACAAATACTGTAAAATGTGTGTAAATTAATCTATTTCTGTTGCGATTTAATTTCCCAGTAGAAGGGAAAGGGAGCTTTTTGCCTTGTTTTGAGTTTGCAGGTTGAAACAATTCTGTAGTACAGTTGTACAATGTAATACTAATACATTTCAAATGCATATTCAAGGTCTCATGAATTTGTGCTAGTTACCACAAAAAAAAACACAAGTGAACACTTCAAGATTTAGAGAGGTATCAATACCTGTCACTATCCCATAGTTAGAATAGCATTTCTGAAACAACATACTTTACATGTATGAAGCTGTATTCAATAAACATAACAAAAATCTTCAGGTCTGTACCTAAGCTAACTTGTCTAGTTATTCCATCTATCTATCCTCTGTAGTGACCACCATGAGTAATGAAGTCCCTGCCCTCCTTAAACCTGATTGCTACAACTCAGCTAAATGGAAATACTGATTGGTACATGTAGAACTAGATCATCTAAGTCTAATAAATCAACTGGTGCCAAACAACAGACTATAGACTCATAATATCATACGATACTATATTACAGAAACATTGTAGATCATACACAAAAAAATGTAAATCTTTTGGTCCAACTCATAATGAATTACAAACAAATAACATATATTCTAGTATTGATAGAACCAAACATGATAAATCTTAATTCTCTTGTCAACAAATGGGAAATGAATAAGTATTACTCGCATTAAATTAACATTCGATTTCAAGACACCACCTGCCTTTCTGCACCAATAATTGGTTACCACAATTTCGTATTTTTTTTTCACCAACAATATATTGGTTAAGAGATTATGTAGCCAGCAGTTTACACAGAACAATTATATAGCAACATTTTCTCTGCTTTCAAAAAGAAACTGAGTCTTTTCACATTTTTTTCACAGTTCACAAATTCCCATTCATCTGACAGTAGTCCTTTCAGTAGTATATAACTTATAAGCCCTGAGGGATATGATAAATGATATATGAAGCAGATAATATTGTATCAGCTGGGAGCCAGCTGTGAAGTCATATACAACCTACTGGGACAAAAATGGAGCACCCTATTTTTAAAAACCCTCAGTTCATCTTTCTGTCATTTGTCAAATGTCATTGTCAATTGACGGAAAAAATTTTGCCCAATCTGTCATTTTGGACGGACAAACATTGGTGTGAAAAATATGGAAAGCAATGTCAATATACCAGGCTTACCACCAGAGAAAAATTTTCACATCAAAATGCAGGAAATAGCATTTCAGAGAGGGTCAAGATTTCAAAATTTTCCCAGGGAAGTATGCCCCAGGACCTCTTAAAATTGTCTGACATTATGTCAAACAAGTAAAAAAAATTGAGATGACAGAAAAAAAGGCTGGCTAGAACACTGCCTCCTCTAGGCTAAGGAGACAATGAATATGTTGTTTTTTTTCTGTTTTGAACATTTTGTTCTTTTCAGGGCTCCTATGAATATCAGAAACACATTACGACACACACAATAATATGGTAGGATGGCTTCCATCCAATCTACACAAGGACATGCACTGGTTAACAAAGCAAGAGTTGCCAATCCATCCAAGAACAACAGGATTCAAAACAAACTGTTTTAAACATAGTTTACTGACCAATGTCAAGGTTGGTACTGTGATTGTGTGAACTGGGAACTGGGCTTTACTTCCAAGAAACTCTTCAGCTAGGTATTCCTAGAATCCTAGTAGCAGTAGTACAGTTTCTGAGGCCTGGTGTATCTCATTGGCCCTGAGCCATGACACCCCCTCCCCCCTGAGTCCCCATGTAATTACTCGTAGGAACAGGGACACTCCATACATGTACCAAGGGATAAACCATCAATGAAACAGGGAGGGTATCAAAAAAGGTTATTACAGATTTTCTATAGAAAATTTAATGTGCAGAATTATTTATTCCAAACTTTTACTATGGGTCTAACACTTGATGCTGAAAAACAGGATTCTTTTCCAGCAAGTGTTCATAATAACATATTATTAGTATGAAGTTTTATGCTTATTATACATGATATATTATGGCAAAGCCTGGCAAATTACCTACAATCATCAAAGCTCCAAATACCAACATTTGCCACCTCTAACAAATTGGCCTCTATATTTTAGACCTTATCCATGTTTACCAATGGAATATTGTCACAGTTATTGAGACTATAGTTTACAATATATTGATGATGTCGGCATTTTCTGTGGTACAGTAACCTTGAGCGATCATGGCCTGACCATTCTTACGTGCCGTGCTACCGGCACGCATTCATGATATTGTATTGATCTACGCAGAGCTGTTGCCAGCATTCACTGAGGAACAACTCTTTCACATTGTTGTAGACAGGGCTCAAAATACTTCTTTCTGCATATACCTGCACTGGTGCAGGTAACTTTGAAAATTACCTGCACCAGACAAATTTTATCTACACTACTCAGACTAAAAAGTACATGTATGGATCATACTAAAAACTGTTCAAAAACCATTGCCATTATTTTTTCTATACTCCATAAGTAGAAACAGTCAATGTTGCAAATAAAAATCCACATACACCTACATATATTATATATATAAACCAGAAACCCAGTACATGGACCAATGCAGGTTAGGGGCAGGTACACAGAATCAGGGCTCGAAATTAACATTGTCCCAGTGTCAAATGACACTAAATTTTCAGCTTGGGACAATTTGAATTACGTTTTGGGACAACTTCGGGCAATTGGAAAATTCTGAGACCATCCACGTCATTTAGGAACACAATCCATCCACTAAGGTGTATGCTTCCAGTGTTTTGAGCCCTGTCTAGATGTTGTTATGCTGATAGTCACAGGTATCAGCGTTAATAGCTTACCCTGTCTCATCACTTCAGAT